TTTTTTAATGTTTATTTTTGAGAGGGAGGGCACGCACATGGGGGAGGGGCAGAGAGAGAGGGAGACACAGAATCCAAAGCAGGCTCCAGGCTCTGAGCTGTCAGCACAGACCCCGACACAGGGCTCAAACTCATGAACCGTGAGATCATGACCTGAGCTGAAGTCAGACGTTTAAACGACTGAGCCACCCAGGCGCCCCATTTGTCAGCTTTTAAGTAGGCACATTTCATTGTTCTTCAGATTTTTTGCCATTTTTCATTAGCCTGCTTTATGCTTTGGCTGGAGGAATTTTTCTGGTGGTTTTGTTTGCTGCTTTTAGAGGAAGTATGGACTGCTTATGTGCAGGCCAAGGCCATTTTCCCTTGGCAAATGGTTTTAAGGATGTAATCCTAGGCTAACAGGGAGCATGAGTGAAAGGAGCATGGAACCTATTCATGTGACATGTGGAGAAACCACAGCCCTGTAGGGAGGGCAGTTGCATGTCTCTGAGAGCCCACCAGAGATGGCTGTGGTCTGGAACTCAGGGACATGGGGAGTGTGTGTGTGGGTGCATAATATGTGTGTCCGTATGTGTCTAAGGCTAGCGCTGTCCAGGCCAAGGTAGGGCTGGGCAGCTTCCCGGACCCAGCCCATTTCTTATGTTTAAGTCTGTGGTGAGCCTTCTTTCTGGCTTTGATAACCATCTAAGATGTATACTAAAGATACTTTCTGGTGGAAAGCGGGGAGACAGTAAGGAGAACAAAACCCAGGTTGAGAGTAGGGAGATGTGCTTTTGGCTCTTGCTCTGCCGCAAATGCACCTGGTCAAATTGCTTACCCTGACTGGATCCAGGAACCAGTGATCCAGGAAGCATAGACAGATGCGTAGACAGAAGCATAGACATGCCGGGAGGCATAGACAGATGATGACATTGACTTGATCAAATGGTCAGACTCTAGATTTGTCCCTGATAGGGAGTTCTGTCTTTTTATTTTAGTTGTGTTTTGTTTTCTGTGATAGAGAATGCTATAGTAACCATCTTTAGGCATGAGGAGTTTTGCTTTTGTTGAATACAATTCCAGAATGTATTCCAGACCCCTACTGGGTCATAGGGCAGGAACATCATTATGGCTATTGCTATATGTTGCCATCTTGCTTTTCAGGAGCAGTGTATCAATTTACAGTTGTCAGCTATGTGTGAGAGAGCATTTTAACCCCAACTGATCCAGTATTTAGTATAGTAATTATTTATTGTTTTTAAATTTTTTTTTCAACGTTTTTATTTATTTTTGGGACAGAGAGAGAGAGACAGAGCATGAACGGGGGAGGGACAGAGAGAGAGGGAGACACAGAATCGGAAATAGGCTCCAGGCTCCGAGCCATCAGCCCAGAGCCTGACACGGGGCTCGAACTCACGGACCGTGAGATCGTGACCTGGCTGAAGCTGGACGCTTAACCGACTGCGCCACCCAGGCGCCCCTATTGTTTTTATAATTTAGTTAGCATAAAATGATACTTTAAAAGCTGCTTTATAATAATCAGAGGTGCTGTTTTCTGGGTGTCCGCTCTGTTTAATGTTGCGCTAGGTGTTTACATATATTATCTCATTTACTCCTCACAGTGAACCTATCAGGGAGGCACAGTAGCTCACCTAAGTCTGTGAGCTGGGGTTTGAACCTAAGGCAGTATGGCCTCAAAACGCAGCCTCCATCTGGGTGCCTCTCCATTCTTTGATTTGTGGGGGTGTGGTTACACAGTGTGAACTTTTGCTTGTGTGCTTTGCTGCATTTTGAAGTATGTGAATTTTGTATAGTTTTTTTAGAAAATTGAATGTGCTCTTTGCATAGAAGAGATTATTAACCCTGTGTTATAGTGAAAGCAGCAACTGAGGTGCATCTACTATAATTAGGGAGAAGACTCAAGTGAACTCGAAGATATTCTGATCTGGGCTCTCTGAAACCCTATTTTCTCCCCCCATGCAGCTGCCCTCCAGGCACTGAAGCGCAAGAAGAGGTACGAAAAGCAGCTGGCGCAGATCGACGGCACACTATCAACCATTGAGTTTCAGCGAGAGGCCCTGGAGAACGCCAATACCAACACGGAGGTGCTCAAGAACATGGGCTATGCTGCCAAGGCCATGAAGGCTGCGCACGACAACATGTACGTGGTCACCCACTGGTGGGGTGGGCACCGTGTGTCAGGGCAGTGCTGGCCCTGGAATGCCTCAATCCCAGGACAAGGCCTTAGGCAACCCCTTGACTTACCCATTCAAACATCTGAATTTGTATTAATTTGCATTCTTTTTTGGAACTCCTAAAATGGATCCTGTATCTTGTTGCCTATAGAAGCAGATCACATGGAATGAAACTGTATTTCTGAGTAATTCAGAGTTAACTGTGATGAGCAGAGTTTCTTGCTGGAAAGGTCCTTAGAAAGTCCTCTTGCCCAGGCCTCTGATTATCAAGGGGGAAGCTGTGTCCCAGAGAGGGGAAGTGACTTGCCCTGGGTTATATGTGAGCTTGGATAGAACTGGGATTAGAATCACTGTCCAGGTCTTTTTCCTGATGCTGTAGGGATCCTGAAAAGATTGGTGCTTCTGAGGACTTTGGATCTCTCTGTTTTTACATCTGCTTTTGATGGAATTTTCTGGCTCCCCCCTTGCTCTGTCTTTGGCTGTCATATTAACAGTGTTCTTGGGGCGCCTGACTGGCTCAGTAGAGCATGCAACTCTTGATCTCTGGGTTGTGAGCTTGAGCCCCATGTTAGGTCTAGAGATTACTTTAAAAAATATATCTGTAAAAATGATGTTCTTGACCTCAGCAATCCTTCCCTTATGTGGGTACTTCTCACATACAGTGGCCTAAGAAACTAGATAGCCACCCTTGTTATAGTTGTAATTAAAGGCCAGAGTAACACTAGACTCCAAACGAGAGCCTCTCCCATGAGCAAAATTCTGCACTTGTTGCAATGCTTGGACTTGGATCATATATTTGGGTACTTGAAGCCCTTTTTTACTTCCTTGGGGTACTTAGCCATGTGGCAAGATGCCTCCTATGGGCCTGCCACCTATTTTAGTAAATAAAGTTTTATTGGAACACAGTTGTGCCCATTAAGTTACATACTGTCTATTTGGCTGCTTTTGTGGTAGACAGCAGGTTTGTGACAGAGTTTGTATGGCCCACAAATTCTGAGATACTTGCTCTTTGGTCCTTTATGGAAAAAGTCTACTGATCTCTGCTCTAGAAATGTGGGGTTGCAGGAAAAGTAGTCTTTAAATAAGTGAAGTATTGGGGCACCTGGGTGGCTCAGTCAGTTAAGCGTCTGGCTTTGGCTCAGGTCATGATCTCACGGTTTGTGAGTTCAAGCCCCACATCAGGCTCTGTGCTGACAGCTCAGAGCCTGGAGCCTACTTTGGATTCTGTGTCTTCCTCTCTCTCTGCCCCTCCCCAACTCATGCTCTGTCTCTCTCTCAAAAATAAATAAAACATTAAAAAAAATTTCTACGTTCTCCAAGATGCCCAGCAGAGAGCACGTCTCAGTGAACCACTATGCATACTTTGAAATATGTGTGTGTTTATTATATTGATTGTTTATAAGATTGATAGTATATAGAAAATAATTCTATATGTTTGCCTTTCTTTTGGAGCCTGGTGGAGGCTCATAAGTGGATTTGAGTAGATGGGGAGGAACTGTCAAGTGGCACAGCTATATTTTATGATTTGTGATTTTATCTCCCCCTGTGTGGTGTTAGAGTTGCCCTTGAGCTTGAAGAAGAGCTTACTGGCCCAGGAGTTAAAGTCCTGTAGTCTCATTTGACATGTTTATTACTAGCTTACATGAGAGATCGTGAATGTGGCATCTACCTTTGCTAAGCCTTATTTCCTTAGGGTGTTGGGAGTAGATGATGTCTAAGAATACTTCCATCCTCTTGATTCTGTGCTTCTCTGTTTTAAAAGGGGGAGGAAGACAATAAAGACAAAAAAGTAATTCCTCACAGGGAATAATTATAGCGGGTATAGAGGGTAGCGCTAGGAAGCAGATTGTGTTCAGTGGGGTTTCTCTTCCTGCCTCGTAGGCCCTCTTCACACAGACTGAATGTCTAATATTACGTCTGTCCATCTCGTTTGAAGGGACATCGATAAAGTTGATGAGTTAATGCAGGATATTGCTGACCAGCAAGAACTTGCAGAGGAGATTTCAACAGCTATTTCAAAACCTGTAGGATTTGGAGAAGAGTTTGATGAGGTGAGTGGTTTCATGCAGTTCTCACAAGTTCCACAAATGACGCCCAAGCCACCTTTTGATGTGCTGTTGAAGGCTCTCCAGTAGGGTGTATGTGGTTTGGAAATCACCAGTTCTCATCCCTCCAGAGACTTGGACATAAACAGGGCATGGTATTAACTCTCCCTAATTCTGGATTTTTAGAGATGCTTTCACTCTTTGGTGTAGAAGTTTAGGTTGAGTAGAGGAACCTTCATAGGGACTCTTCAGCAGGCTTCAGGTCAGTAATTGGTTTCAGTAAATAATTATCTTACACCTTTCGTGGTGGACCCTAGGCTCAGAGCTGTGGCAACTGAGGTGACCATTCCCTGGTACAGGATTTGCCCTCAGGCAACTCTGATTTGAGATAAAGATGAAGCCAAGGAAGGAGCATTTATATCTGACCCCTGAGGGATCCATCTGGAACTCGGCCACCTGCTGGTTTCTGCTGTAGCAATTGGGATCTTGGGTCTCTTAGCTTTCTAAAATCCAATAACAGGCCCTGTTGAAGGTATTTTGTTCTGTGTTAGATTTGAGGCCACTGAAGGTGAGGTCCTCTCCACTGGACCTCTTCATGCTGATTCCCGTGGTGTAGCTGACCGTACAGCCTTTGGCTTTCACCTGTGGCTCCCAGCACCAGGGTTTTCATGTTATCAGACTAAAATTTGATGGACTAGTCAAGTCAATTTCAATTCAGCAAGTATTCCTGAACATTCATGGAGTGTGCCCAGTTCTGAGATAAAGAAATAGGAATGAAAATACATAATCCCTTCTCTGAATCGCTTCTCGGCCTTTTGGCTAAGATCAAGTGTATAATCCCTTCTCTCAAAATGCTGACAGCTAGTGCAGGACCCTGGATATAGACTCCATAACTGCTTGCTGGTGTTTTAGCTTCACCAGTGGAACCATGTTTAGGGTTTGAATAACAGAGTGTGGACCTGGAGTTCATCTCTCTTCTGACCTTCTTCGAAGGGGTGTGTGTCCCCTGAGCCATCAGGAAAGAGGTACTGCTGCAGGGGCTAGGATTCCCAGGGACATCTCTCTCACTCTTGTGTTTCCTTTTACCAGGATGAGCTCATGGCAGAATTAGAAGAACTAGAACAGGAGGAGCTAGACAAGAATTTGCTGGAAATCAGTGGACCCGAAACAGTCCCTCTACCAAATGTTCCCTCTATAACCTTACCATCAAAACCCAGTGAGTACTTCTTACCCAGTCATGACGTATCCCTGATGCCATGTGGTGGTGTCAGTTTGGGTCCTGAGTTTGCCCAGGATTGAGAACCACATAAAATCTGTTCTGACGGCCATAGAGACAACATCACCTGTGTTTTCCTAGTTTTTCTCTAGAACAGGGCTTTTTAACCTTGGCACTATTAACACAGTCAGGTAATTCTTTGGGTTGGGGGAAGGGGGTTGTTTTATGCACTGTGGATGTTTATGCAGCACCCCTGGGCTCTGTCCTCTCCAAGGTGTGACAACCAGAAATGTCTCCATACTGCCATATGTCTCCTGCAGAGTATGTGGGGGGTCACCCCCAGTTGAGAACTATTATTCCAGAATGATTTTTCCTATGTCACCAAACAAGACAAAGCTCTAGGCACTGGAAGAAGATGTGAGAGTTTAATTCCAGGACAGCTCTTACTCTGTCTAATAGCCTGTTCTGTGCACACCTATAAAAACTTAGGGCCTCAGAGGCAGCCACTGTGGGAAGGAAACTTCTTTGGCTTTTTTTAGAGACCTGGTTCTATAAAACCTTCGTTTCCTTCTGCCTGCTCCTTCTTCCCCCTCCCTCCTCCATTTTTCACCCTTGGTAGAAGTATTCCACGCCAGACTTCTAGAAAAGATATAGCAGTTTGATTTGTCATGGAGGGAGAACCCAGGGAGCAGTGTAACCAGGCTGTTGTCCTCTTACCCTCCCACATACAGAGAAGAAATGGTCCCTCAAGTTGAGTCAGCAGCCTGTGGTGGGTTTAGGCAAAGGGGGTCCACATCCACACACTGTTTAAGGGGCACTAGTGGGTGTGGAGAGGTGGTTCAAGCCACTTAATATGGAGGGGGAGTGTTGGCAAGGATTAGATCTCCTCTGGGGTTCTTCCTTGAATGCTCTGGATGGAAGCCTCACCTGAATTCTGACAGACTCTCAGTGTAGAATCCTTCTTGTTTTGCCTGGCCTCAGTGCTGGTGGAGGGGAGGTGCTGGGAGCTGGTATGCCTGTTATCAGGAGTTTTATGCTGCAGCTTTCAGGCACAGAGAAACAGTCTGCTGATAGCTTGGCCACAAGGCTGGGTGTGAGGGCAGGGCTGTTTTGTAGACATGATGTGGCACAGCCCTGGCACCCAGCCAGAATGTGTTGAGAGCACTGTAACCAGCTTCTAAGTAGCCCTTTCTCTCTTTACACAGCCAAGAAGAAGGAAGAAGAAGAGGACGACATGAAGGAATTGGAGAACTGGGCTGGATCCATTTAACTGGTCCAATGCGGGCTGGGCCCAGACAGACTCTGGTGGCCTGTGCAGCGGGCAGGCATGTGCGTGTGTGGGGCAGGCAGGACATGGTGCAGGCAGGTTCCATCGCTCCTGAATCTCCCTCCAAAGCAGTAGGGCCACATCACTGCTCACTCTCTGCATAGCATGGTCTGCACCCAGCGGGATGGGGAGGGGGGTGGGGGGCGGGGGGTGGGTGGGAGGT